TTACTTCCAGAAAAGGGCCAAAATCTTTCATTTTCTTTTCATCTTTGTATATACAGTTCCTCTGCCTCAAACAGTTCCTTCCCTCTTGCTTTCTAAAATTCTATTTGTCCTGTTATTTTAAAATTAACTTTAACAAAAAAAGGAGGTAAAACTTACCGCGAAATGCAGATCCTAAACGTACAATGCGGTTAAGTTTTTAACCACAACCCCTATCAAGTTATCTTGGTCTTACACATGGCTCCCTCCGAGAAGTCTTCCCCGACCTGTTCCCGACCCAGGTTAGGGCCCCCTACGACCCGACTGGGCCCTGTACTTCACCAGTGACATCGCTTGGCCCTGCACCACCTAAAATACTACCCCGCTTGTCCAGTCAAGTTGCCCATGCCACCGTCTATTATTCAACTTCACACACGCCACACCTAGCAGGACACCTGCCTCAGATGTCCTCAACCACAGGTGCTGAGAGGCGTCAACAGAAAAGAAGAAAAACTCTGTAAAGTAATTTAAGGAGGTTTATTCCGAGCCAAATCTGAGGACCATGGCCCAGAGCCACGCCCAAGAAGTGGGCTCACTGTTGTAGAGTCACAGTTTGTTTTTACACATTTCAGGGAGCCAGGAATTACAAGTCAAGTCATAAATCAATACATGGAAGGCATACTTTGGTTTGGCCCAGAAAGGTGGGACATCTCAAAGCGGAAGCTTACGAGTCATAGGCGGATTTAGGGATTCTTTAGTTGACAATTGGCTGAAAGAGTTAGGCTTTGTCCGAAAGACCAGGAATCAGTGGACAGGAATGCTTAAGAGTCTTCTATCTATACCGCATGATACGATGCTATCCCGGAATCGGGTTGGGAGGTAAACCACATCACAAAAACCTGTTACTGAGATTTTATCATTTGTAGGCAAGACTCACCAGGCCCCCTTAGAAAGGAATTTTTTGGGCAAAGGATCGGGGTTCAGTCCTCAGAGGACTACCGCCCCGAGCAGCAGACAACTAAACCCGACTTAACATTTCTCAAACTGCCTCAGCGAACGTCCGGGGGCAAAGACGGAAGGACGGCAGGCCCAGCCCTGCTTCCCCTCGGGAAGAGGGGAGGCGAGGCGTCCACGTGCTGCCCCGCGGCGCCAGGCCCGCCCACAGCCCGGGGACGGCCCTCCCTGAACCAGCACCCAGGCTCCCCCTCTGAGCTCGTTTCCAGCTCGCCTGCCATCCTCCAGCCACCGCCAAGTAAACCCTCCACCACTACCGTACTGGACAAAGGGTGAGAAACAAAAAATACGCGTAAGGACTCCAAACCCCGTCAGCAGCGCGAGGCAACCCCGCTGACGCGCCACAGCCGTCCACTCACCAGCCGCGCGTGCGCAGTCGCCCCGACGAGCTGTGAGCTGCGGGCGGGCCGGGTAGAGCAGAGCTCGCGCAGGCGCAGACCCTCCGGCCGAGGGCGCTTCCGCAAGGGAGCCAGTCTTCCGGAAGCGTCTGGATCCCGCCTTTACAGCCCAGGAGGCTTGACTCCTCCCTAGAATCGTTCCCGCGGCGCTTCTATGTTTTATCAGTTGCCTCCAAGAGTGGTGGCAAAAAAAGTTTAAGGTTTTGATTAGATACAAGTTAAACCCACTGTTTTGTAGTGAGACATGTAGGTTTCCACAATCAAGGCTCCATTTGTTTGTTTGCAATGTACTCAGTCTTATAATTGAACGTTGACTTTAAATGTTGACATTAAATTGAAGTTTTGGTAATATTGATAGTATTAGGGGGAAAAACACTTTAAAACTCGTTAGTCTTTCAGAGCCTTCAGTACTGAGTGCATTGATCAATATATATCAAAACATCTAGCATTGTAAATATATATAATTTTTGTCAACTGTACCTTAATCATTTTAAAAGCCAAACATCCAGCATAGTACCTGGCACATACAGGCACTTACTGGAAGTAAGGTTCTCTTCGGCTAAATCATAAATGATATACAATATTTGTTTTCCATTCCCCAATCTATACTATGTTTGTACCGCCCTGCATTTTCTTTACCAACTTCATGACCTTGCTAAGTTTTATATATTCTGCTGAGCAGCTTTAAATCCTATCTGGTA